TTTGAATTCCTGCTACTTTCTTCTTTCCTTTCCCACTAGCCATGCTGAGCCAGCACAGGGGCACATCAACCAACTTTTATGACTACACACACATCATTAACACGACCATTGTTTAACCCTGTCTTCAAGGCTAAATTCTGCTTTGAGTCACCTCTGAGCAGCTCCCTTGAAAGCAATATGGTACCCATGTGAAATTGGGTGTAACATGGACCTTGCAGATCTTGAGCAAGGTAGTGGAACCTCTCATCCTGTGTTAATATGGGCACACAGTAACCACAAGATGCTACTGGAAATGATTCAAGAGAAGGAAAGAATGCATTGGGTTTCCTGATATTCTTAGACTGGCATATGACAAAAGGAACTGACAGCTATTTAGCTGAGCTTTTGGGAACAGACTCACTGGGGAAGACATAACATGGTGTCGTGTCACCTGGGTTCCAAAAAATAGCATGACTGACCTTCCATTTTACATATTAAAACTGCACTAACACTTAACAACATGAATTCTCTTTGGCAAAGGACTACAAAATCATGAACTCACCTTCAGAAGACCTTTGCTTACTCCTGATCCCTCCAGGAGGGTGACACTTCCTTCTATTTCAGTAATTGCCAATACAAGCATGGTCTGAATAACATTCCCAGGAACCAAGTTTCAATATCCACATTTCTGTAAGGTTTCTTCTACATTCACAACTTATCCCAACTATGAAATTCACTTCTTTCCTCTGAGCTCAGACCTCACAGGGCTCTTAGGGATAAATAATGGAAGGAGGATGAGATAATCTAGGAGTAGAGCTCCCATCAGAAATGGGATGTTTTAAAGAAGCAGTACTTTTCATTGAGATGATGACCACTTTGTGTTATGCTTTAAAACTAAAAACACTAACAGCTTCTTTAATTACAGTGGCAACTATTTTGATTGCAAACAGGAATCCTTTATTCTTCAGATAGACTCAAAGTGCAGTCTCAAAGCTCCTAAGCAAATATCTGTTGCCTTCTTCAGATGTTTAATATGTCAGCCCTTTAGGAAGGAGTCCAAACGTAAACTTCAAGGCCACAAAAGCTCAGGACAACTCAGAGTCTGCCTCTGAAAGCAAGAAGGAGGACAGCTGCAGATTTAATTCTAGGGAAACATTTCTCTCTCCTCTTTGTCTCCATCTCCCTCCACCTCCTCTTCACAAGAAAAGAAACACCTTTTCTTCATTCTTTGATCACATCGAAAGCCGATTCCTTCAACTTCTTTGAAACAGCCGACCACCTTACTTCTCATCTGCAGCTTTCTAAAGCATTCCTTAGACTTACATGCAATTCTCACCAGCCCAACCAATCACCAGGAGACAAGACTCACCCTGTAAAAACTGTCACTGAACAAAATCATTTCAGAGTGACTTATTAGGCATGCAGTCAGTAATGACTTTGCAAGCATGGCAAGCAAGATGGAGAGGCAAAGCCTGAGCCAACACGAGCTGTCAGAACATCACTGTAACTTCTCATGTTAGAAAATATTAAGCCATCTGATGTTTCAGCCTGGCATTCCAACATAATAACAGGCCTGGAAACAGCAATCAATTTGCAAATTGAGGAATCTGCTCAGAAATATAGCAGATGACAAAGAAATATGCAAGAGTGTACAGAAACGCTTGTGTGACATTGATAATAAAGGTCTTCCAGAGCCTCCTTGTAGTGCACTGCTTTGTTGTCAGGACTGAAGTATCTGAGACAATGGCCACATCACTGGACTGAAAGAAGATGCTTTCACATTTATGTTCAGATGTTATTTTTGTCCTTATTATGAAAAAAAACCTCTTGGTTTCTTTGCATAAAATGTCACCTTGTGACATATTTGGGTACAAACCAAGGAAGTGCCAAAGCTCTGCAATTCTCACCTGCCAGGAGCAGCAGGTGCTTGGAGCTTGCCATGGTGAGGCTCTTGAGACATGTTCTGCTCTCAGCCACAGAATCACAGAATCACAGAATCGTAGGGGTTGGAAGGGACCTCCAGAGATCATCGAGTCCAACCCCC